GGCAGTCATATGCTGCTAAATAAAAATCATTAACATAGTGAGTAGATATGGAACATTCCATTTTATTATCATGCTACCTCTTTTACTTCACCTTTGTATTATTTATAAATACAATATTGTCACTGGGGAATCTTCCTTGCAAGGATTTCAACCATTTCAACGTATTTCACTTAGTAAGAGGAAATCCAAACTCAACCATCAAAATTCCAGCAAATGCACTACTTAAAATATTTTGGGGTTTTTGTAGACAAAGTGAAATATTCTCATGATTTTTTTTAAAGTTTTTTTTTTTTAATGAGAGAGATAACAAGTTATCTGAGCTTGCTTCCAGAGAGTGGTTCCAACAATCACTTGAAACTGAATCTTGTAATATTATGAGACCATAAACATTTTTTCTTTTGGTAGTACAGATTAAAATCACCAATGCCTTTAACTCAGACTTATAAAAACAAAAATGTGTAGTGTAAACAAAGAAAAATACGTGTGTGTCTTTGCAAGTTTGTGCTCTGCTTATTAACACGGAGAGCTCCATTTTCTTTGGTTTTAGTTTTGCTTAGAAGACTACACAATCGGATGAAAAATCAAATATGTGCATGTTAATAAAAGGTGATACCAGAGTGTTTTTCTCCAGAATATAACTGAGAAAATAGTTATCCCAATAATCTGGGTAGGATTTTATTTTAGTGATATACAATTTTTTTCTGATTTAAAAAGAACTGTTAAGATTAAAACAATGTTTTTGGGGGGAGGTTTTTTGTTTTGTTTTGTTTTGTCGGTTGTGGGGCTTGAACTCTGGGCCTGGGTGCTGTCCCTGAGCTCTTCAGCTAAAGGCGAGCACTCTACCACTTGAGCCATTTCTGGGGGGGGGGGGGGGGGAGTTGTGATGAGATATTATTACTGGGATTTCATCATTTAGCAATAGTTGACAATTACTAACTTAATTTGGGGGGATTTCTTTTTGGCAGAGACTAGACCTCTTCAACATTAAAGTGGATATTCCTTTATACTTATCACACCGTTTTACCCTGACTGGTATTCTTACCACGTCAGAAGGAAGATGGTAAAAAAGCTAGACCACACGTTCCTACAAGCAGAGACTTAGCAGTGGTTCTATCAGATCGACAGAAGGCCTCTAATGGAGGTACTTATTGTAAGTAATTGCAGATTACTTATTGTGGTTGCAAAGTGGCTTTCACTGATGTGTTCCAGTTGCCAAACTATGCTATGCATTTCTCTTCTCAGAACCACTAAGTGTGACAGATGCTGAAACAGAGGCTCAGAGCACAAAGGTGGTAGCTGCTGGTCTGCATCTGGTCTGGGTCTGGCTAACCCACAGGTCTGTGCTCCATGCCATGACTCCACGTTGACGGAGGGAATTTACATCTTGGAAACATTTCCCTCACCTTCTTTTGGTTTGTGGCTGTTGGTTTGGGTCAGTCCTCCATCTTGGTATTGTAGTATCTCACTGGCACTCTTATTCTTAGCTTACCCAGCATTTTGGGGACACTAATGCCCCCAGACTGGTACACCGCTCTTCTCCCTTTCATTCACCCTTACTTGTGTCAATGTGGCTGTGGTGTGCGAGGTATGAGCAGTATACTTCCCAAATGAGTTTCTTTCCTTCTAATTCTTGCCAGATGTTTTCTATAGTTATAGACATCCACCCCACCATTCTTAACTCATCCATCTTAAAAAGCTGACGGCCTGATTTTTGTTGTTGTTATTGTTGTCAGTCGTGGGGCCTGAACTCTGGGCCTGGGCGCTGTCCCTCAGCAATTCAGCTCAAGGCTAGCGCTCTACCACTTGAACCACAGCGCCACTTCCGTCTTTTTCTGCTTATGTGGTGCTGAGAAATGGAACCCAAGGCCTCATGCAAGCAAGGCAAGCACTCTTCCACTGAGCCACCTTCCCAGCCCCAATTATCTGATTTTTTTCAAAGCAGGAAATGTATTTGCAGAGATTCACTTACTGAAAGCCTTCCATGTTTTCCAGCACCGATGCCATTGGAGGAGGGGACAGGGAGTATTATTTGCTCAGTGGTGTTGAAGGCTCTTTGTGTTCGCTGATCTTGTTACCGAACTCAAGGGCAGTAAATCAGTGACAGAAAACAGATAATCTGTCCCATCTAGCAGCTTTCTGGCAGGAAAGGCAAGGCTTGCGGGCACTGGTTGTCAATATATGTCCATACACTTGTTGTTGCTTTTATGATTCGTGGCAGATCTGCTCTGCACAAAACCTGCAATTTCGCGACTATTCACAGAACTCTTACCTTATGACAGGTAGTGTGCAGAGTGGGGACACTGGCAAACAAGAAAAAGGGGCCCACAAACCGCTGAGGCTTTGTGTGGAGAGGGAAAGTACTCCCAATAATTGAGCCCGAGGCAGGTGAGGATGGTTTGGATGGTTTTGCTCTTTCATCTCTCAGAGCTCAACCCCTGAGTAGCTGAGATTGCAGGTGGGCGCGTCAAGGGCGTGGCTACTTTTCAAGTCTTAAATTTAAGCTCATAGAAGTTTTTTAAATCATTTCCTATACACATCCAGTTTCTGACAGACACATCTGACCTCTTCTGTGAAATAAAAATACCTAGCACAAAAAGAGAGCTAGCTTTGATTGGATGGTTTTGGTGGCAGAGCACCAACCTAGCATGTGCAAGGCCCCGAGTTCAAACTCCAGCAGCACAACTAAAGAAAAAAAAGCTGCAGCTTGATGAGAAACAGGAACGCTATAGGCAGAGGATGTCCACTAAAGGAAAAGGAAAGCAAAAGAAAAAGGCTGGAGGTGTGGCTCATGTGCTTGCCCAGTAAATGCAAGGCCTTTAGTTCAACTCCCCAAAGAGGCTGATTTCTAATGACATGGAAAGCATACTACGGAGAGGAGGGAAAGGTGATAGAAAAACCCTCATCATCCACACCCAGATAGGGGTGGGCACATAGGTAAGTGGGAGAGAGCAAGCTGGGAAATGGGCTGGCTGCAGGATGATGAACAGCGCTCACTGGACACAGGATGTGAAGTTCTCCTTCCATCCTCTTCTTTCTTCAGTAATTCAGTTAATTCAGTCTGTTTTCCTCATCCTTTGGGAACTAGGCTTTCTCTGGGGAGAATTAATTTAGATCAAATGGGGAATAGGAGATGTCTGGTCTAACTTCTGAATTGGGGGTTATACGCATGCAGTTATTTCATTTCATGCAGCCAGGCCAACTGTCACTCAGCTAACATACCTTCCACTCATAGCTTACCTGTCAGTGCTCAAATGTAAAGGACTCACTATTGGAAGGAAAAGAAAATTATTTTCTTTGTTGTACCCTTGAAAAGCTTGGATAATGAACAAAGTCTTTGATTGATATTGCACAATTAATTTCACACATAAAGATATTAGTATTTATATTAAAATTATTTGCTGTTTAAAGGTCATGCCTCTGAGTCCTTGTGAAGGGAAATACTGACCTCTACTGTTCAAGTAAGGCATTGCAGGATGTCACCTCGGATGGGGATTTTTTTTTTTTTTAACATTATTGGGGTCCTGGTTTCCATCCCAATCAAATAAAACATAGATTCCTGGAAGTTGGGGTGAGGTGGGATGAGCAAATAAGCACAAATTCAGGTTCCTATATAAATACAAAGTTTTTCTAGATATATGAAATTCAGGAATCCCAAAAGTAGATGAGATGTTCATTTTTCTAAGATGAATTTCATGAGGATGACATAATTTCATAAATTCAAGAGTGTTCTTAAAAATAACAAGGTCTAGGGAAGTATATATCAATCATTAGAATATTTTTATGAATCAGAGTTTATAAAGGAAATGTTCATAGAATGAGTAAATATTTACCAAGTTAATAGATCAACCAGTTATTATTCTACATAAGTATGTCAGGGTTTTGCTTTTATTTCTATAGCTTGTCATCTTTAATCATGTACTCTTCTATAGTTATATCACTAAGCAATGATTTAATTCCCTAGATATGTGTTTTAATAATGATGTCATTCTTTTGCAAGGTTTATCATCATTGACTGCTTTTCTTATGTTTGAGTGTGTGTGTGTGTGTGTGCGAGTGTGTGTGTGCGTGTGTGTGTGTGTGTGTGAGAGAGAGAGAGAGAGAGATACTTGAGCTTGAACTCAGGGCCTTGTGGTCTCTCACTTGTTTTTTCATTGACAAGGTGCTCTGTCCTTTGAGACAAGCCTCCATTTCCAGTTTTTTAATGTTTAATTGGAAATGAAAGAGTCTCCTGGATTTGTCTGCCTGTGCTGGCTTTGAATTACGATTGTAAGATCTCAGCCTCCTGAGCATATAGAAGCGAGTGACCAGTGGTGTCCAGTATCATTGGTCATGTTTATAGGGAAAAAGTTCTTTAAGCCAAAGTCACAGTTCAGAAATGACTGTATTTCCAGTGAAAACATAACCTTCCTGTCTTTAATAAAAACCACTGGATTTCTAAATAGGATGATTGCCTTACATCAGAATGTCTGTTAGATATTTTCCCCACTATATGCTGTGTGCTTTTGGGACAGGGTCAGTGAAACTAATTGTAGCTAAGGGAGGGGCAGGACCCATTACGTGTTTCCCTTTTACAGCCAAGGCCGACCTTACTTCTGGGGGAGAAGCCTCAGATCTCAGCCTCCCGAGTGGCTGGGATTACAGGTGTGAGCCCATGGCGCTCAGCCTTTAGAAAAGAAAGGAAGAAACATCCGGGCATCACTGATCACAAGCGGCGGATTACTGCCTGGGTAGAAAACAAAACGCTACCAATCACCAAAAGACTCGAAGCCAAAGCAGCTATTTCCTCCACTGGCGGTGAAAAGCTCCTCACCTGGCCTGGTTGACAGCAGAGCTCGAAGCTCCGCCCCTAGGGGGCGGCCCCCGGAGAGGAAGACCCGCCCCTTGACCCTGAGGTGGTTGAAGGCCCGCCTCTTTACCCTACGGGCGGCCGCCGAGAGGCTTGTGCGCGCGCGCGTGCGCGGGCTACGTCATATCCGGCGGCCTCCAACTCTGAAGGGGCTGCGCCGCGGAGGCCGCGGTCCGCGCGTCGGGGGTCGGCGTGTCCGGGCGGCTGTCGGGGTGGGCGGCACGGCGGCACCATGGTCGAGGTAGGCGGACGCCTGGGCGCCCCGGACTCGCGTCTCTGCGGGCTGGTTGTGTTGGCTCGCGGGTGGAGAGCGCGGAAGGGGCTGCGGGCCGGGGCCCGGTGGTCTCGGGGTGGAAGCGGGCCAGGCTGCGAGCCCGAGGCCCCGGATCTGAGCCGGGCCGTGGGGGGGGCTGGGGGTCTGCCCCGGGGGGAGGGGTGGGACCGGGGCCGGGGTCTGACAGGCGGCCGGGCCCTGGGCTCTTCTGTCCAGCGCCCACGGCGCCCTCAGTTCATCGCCGCCCCAGGAAAGGCCGCCGCGCGGGCGCCTTTGCATCTTGCCCTGGCTCGTGGCCGTCTTTCTGTCCAGCAGGCCTAGCTCGCCCTGGCCCAGGTGTTGCTCGGGTGCGTGCACCCCGCCCCAGATCCACAGCAGTCCCCACCATGTTTTTGTTTGTTTCTGATTGACATCCTCTTTTGCGTCGCCTGGCGCGTGAGCTTCGTCGCTTCCATTTCTGCTCTATAATTTGTTTTTTGTAAGATGGCCTTAATTTTGTTACCTAAAAACCTTTTTTTTGGGGTGGGGGCCCTCTGTAAGACATGAACGTGGAAGGCTCGAAAGACCTTTTCTAATCTGGCTGCCTTTGGAAGCTTCATCTGACAATCCAGCCTTCCCTGTCATCCAGGAGACGACCGTGCTGCGTTTCTGGCTGTAGCTCAGTTGCTGGACACTTAGGGGTCTGACATTTCCCCCTGCTGGAATTGTTCTTGCCTTTAGCCTCTGAAGGGCGTTCTCAGCTTCAATACCTCAGAGAGATGATTCGTGATTATATTTAGTTTTCCTTCTCTACCTCAGCCTCTGGCGTTTCTTCATTGCGCTTCCCAAAATGTGAAATTATTTTGCTTATTTTTGTCTCTTGCCCCCTAAGCACAGAGCTCACGACAGCCTTTTTATTATTCTCTTGTTAGCTCCTAGCACAGTACCTGCTGGACATACAGAATAACGACAATGATCACTGAATAACATACATATATCCCAGGCACTACTCAGTCGCTATGCCTAGTGCCCTGGCCAAGAAGGAGCTCTTTTCTCTAAACTTGACTGCTTTTGTGCACTACAAGTGGCTGTGACGAGTATTATAAAGCTTTTTACTCTTTTAAACATGTAAAGTGTGTAACTAGTTTGGTTCTTGTTTTTTTTTTTTTTTTTTTAACTGTATTTTTTGGTCTCTACATTTTTGGTACTGGTGCTCAAATCCAGTACGTTGCACTTCTAGGCAAGCGCTTTGCCACTGAGTTACATCCCAGCCTACTTTTTGTTGTTGTTGTTGATCATGGAGCTTGAACTCTGGGCCTCGGTGCTGACCCTCAGCTCTTCTGCTCAAGGCTAGTGCTTTGCCACTTGAGCCACAGTGCCACTTCCTGTTTTTGTTTTTTGGTCGGTGGTGGGGCTTGAACTCTGGGCCTGAGTGCTGTCCCTCAGCTCTTCAGCTCAAGGTTAACACTTTACCACTTGAGCTACAGCTCCACTTCCGGTTTTCTGGTGGTTTATTGGAGATGAGAGGTTCACGGACTTTCCTTTGAACCTCAATCCTCAGATCTCAGCCTTCTGAGTAGCTAGGATTATAGGCATGAGCCACCAGTGCCCAGCAAAGACTCAATTTCTCTTTCTTTCTTTCTTTCTTTCTTTCTTTCTTTCTTTCTTTCTTTCTTTCTTTCTTTCTTTCTTTCTTTCTTTCTTTCTTTCTTTCTTTCTTTATCTATCTATTTTTGCCAGTCCTGGGCCTGAACTCAGGGCCTGGGCCCTGTTTCTGAGCTTCTTTTGCTCCAGGCTAGCACTCTACCACTTGAGCCACAGTGCCACTTATGGCTTTTTCTGTATCTATGGCTCTGAGGAATCGAACCCAGGGCTTCATGCATGAGAGGCATATTCCCCAGTTCTAGTTTGGTTTAAATATAGGTTGTCATATGGGTGATTGGTATCTAGACGTATAATTACACTCTCTTTTTAGGAGGTTCAGAAGCATTCTGTGCACACTCTTGTGTTCAGATCATTGAAGAGGACCCATGACATGTTTGTAGCTGATAATGGGAAACCTGTGCCTTTGGATGAAGAGAGGTGGGTGGAGTTCTTGTTCAGTTACTAAAGTATTTTCTAATATATAGACAAGAGAGGGGAAAGGGAGCTGTCAAAGGTCTAAAAAGTAAAACTAACATGGAGAGGTTATCTGTTCAGTGACAGGCAGCATTCTGACACAATTTAAATTGGTTTAACTTTTTTTTGGGGGGGGTGGGGCTTTACCTTTTACAACAAAAATCCATTTGATCACATTTAACAAATACTCAATAAATGAGTCCCTTGTGGGTGTTTTATTTTATCCGCAATCCCTTTGGATTGTCAGCTTCTCACTGTTCTCAGGGCCTTGCTGAGTTTATATTGTAACCTGGCCAGTACTTCCACTCCCATCTTTTCTTGTCAGTATGACAAAGATTTTTGAGTGATAGCACATTTTGGTTCATATCTCCAGTTTCCACCTAGGAATGCATTTATGTGCAGTGTTCCTTCTTTGTCTTTAAACATTATTTTACTTAATTAATTTTCTTACTTCATCAAAGAAGCCTGTATATTTATAACATTGTTTTTGTTGCCTAAAACCTTTTTTGGGCCCTATGTTACTAGGGCATAAATCTGGAAAGCTTGAAAGATCTTTCCTAATCTGACCCCAAAGGTGGATTTCTCTTAAAAGTAAAATGAGTGCATTTCTTTTTTAAAATATTGAACTAATTAAGTAGTTTGATTAGTTTAACAACCCTTTCTATAAATACACATCTATTAGAGGTTGCTATAAATTAATACTTTGTATGTTTAGACATTTAAACATATTGAATATAAACATGTTGCATGTATTGACTGAAGCTTTTTTTTTTGGTTGGTCGTGGGGCTTGAACTCTGGGCCTGGGCACTGTCACTCAGCTCTTCAGCTCAAGGCGAGCGCTCTACTGCTTGAGCCACAGCGTCACTTCCAGTTTTCTAGTGGTTTATTGGAGATAAGAGTCTCACAGACTTTCCTGCCTGGGCTGGCTTTGAACCGAAATCCTTAGATCTCAGCCTCCTGAGTAGCTAGGATTACAGGCATGAGCCACCAGTGCCCGACTTGACTGAAGCTTTTTAAAGGATATATTAGTTAAGTTTTTTGAATCAGTTGGATTCTTGAGAACTCATCATGAAATGCATTGCATTTAGGTTTAATGAATGTTATATGCTGGATTGTAAGCCAAAGTAAAGATGGTGTGGAAATGCACTTGGCAATTTTTGATTCTTTTGTGGGGGGGGGGTCCGGTTGTGGGGCCTGAACTCTGGGCCTGGGTGCTGTCCCTTAGCTCTTCAGTTCAAGGCTAGCGCTCTACCACTTGAGCCACAGTGCCACTTCCAGCTTTTTTTCTTTTTGCTTATGTGGTGCTGAGGAATCGAACCCAGGGCCTCATGCATGCAAGGCAAGCGCTCTGCCACTGAGCCACCTTCCCAGCCCAAATTTTTGATTCTTTAAAATACTTAGAATCCTACTAGAAGATTTTTATGCATGATGGAGATTACTTAAATGATTTAAGTACTTTTTACTTGGCTATCTGTAAATATTTGCATTGGTAAATATATTTGAAGTTACATTTTATGTTTATAATCTTTCAATAGTCACAAGCGAAAAATGGCAATCAAACTCCGTAATGAGTACGGTCCTGTGTTACATATGCCTACTTCAAAAGAGAATCTTAAAGAGAAGGGTGCTCAGAATGCAGCGGATTCCTATGGACATAAGCAGTATCCTGCCAATCAAGGTGCGTCAGGGCTTGATTGAGTGCATTTTTAAAGTGCCTTATTAGTGCCTCTCCTTGAAGGTCTAGTTGTAATACAATATTTTGTGGCTGTACTAGTATTATAATAGAAGTTTTGACTTAGTCATGAGAGTAGTAACTGAGGTTGTTAGAGTATGGAATTTTTCTTATAGAAAATAAAAGTATTACAGTGTAAAGCTGGCCGAAATTTCTTACTGTGTGAAGGACCTAGTTGAGATTAAGAGAGAAATTTAGAGAATAATTCTACCCTCTTTCAGTCTATCATGGTTATAATTCAGAAAGATGAAAGTCAGTTACTGACATTGTAACAAATCAAGAGAATCCATGATTCCACTTGAATCTGTTTACTTAGAAGAAAACCAGAGTGGATTATCATTTGATAGGAAGACCTTTACATACCATTACAATATACGAAGGAGTGAGCTTGCTAAAACCCCTCACAGGGAGTGAGCAGGGGAATGGCTGAGCTGTTTCGGAGGCCAAAACAAAAATGATCAACTTGGCTCTGAGGCCTGAGATTCTGAACCCAGGAGATCCAGGAAACAGTTAAAAGGGTTGATACATTTAAAAAGAGGGTGCTGTAATGTAAGGTAAATGCAGCTAATGTACTTATATTTTGCTTTTTATGTTTTTGTAGGACAAGAAGTCGAATATTTGGTGACAGGTACACATCCTTATCCACCAGGACCTGGTAAGTGAACTGTTACCTTTTAGAAATGTCTTATTCTATCTTGGTAGGCATTGTGCTGGAGATTCAAAGATGATAGACTGTGCCAGGCCTACACAGGTTGATTATGTGGTAGTTTGGATATATATGTGAGTATCTAAACTCTTAAGAATGGTGGAATTGTTAGTGTAGAAGCAGGTCTAATTGAAATGTGCTCTGTGTGTCTGTGTGGGTGCGTGTGCATGTGTGCATACGCACGTGCGCCCACACACCTGTGGGGTTGTGTGGCCAGGTTGGCATACAAATGGTACATCTGGAACAACAGAGTGAAGGACAAAGGGTTAGTATTTATAGAAACTACTGGAGAATTGGGTGCTTATAATATCCATCCTTGGAAGCATCCTGTTAGTACTTGAGTAACTTCTTCGTTTTTGCTTTTGATCTTGTGTCAATTTAATCATAATTTGACTTTATTATCTTGGCCTGCTTTAACTATACTGTTCATGATCAGATCAAACTGAAGTTATGTGTTTTGAATAGCATTGCGGGTGGAAGGGTAGAACTGGCCTAGCTGGGAGAAGCAGTGTTGGTGAGGCAGCTGTGGGGCTGACGGTGGCTCTAGCTGCAAGACAGGTGCAGCTGCCGTGGCTTGTTTAAGTGCAGAATTTAAGATGAGCCTATACAAATGGACAAGTGGCTGGAGTAGCTGTGCAAAACTGAATGTTTCTGCCAGAAAGATATGCTGAAAAAGTACAAGCATGGAGAACTTTGGTCTGATTGACAGTCACCTTGGCATCTGTCCCATCTGTTTCCTTGCGGTAGTGGCTTTGAATTGGGATTATATGCGCACTTTCCAAGAGTCTAAGCCAGTTCTTGCTTTGTACAGCATACCTTATTTTGCAGTAATGCAGATGTGCCCATCTATACCTCCTATGAGGAGAAAAGCATCTTTCCTGTGGCCCACAGGAAAGTAGATCCACCCACAGGGGTGGATCCTGATGCTCTTTGACAGCTATCATCCAGTCTTAAAAGGCTCAGTGACTGCCAGCCTCTGGTGGCTCAAACCTGTGATCCTAGGTACTCAGGTGGCTGAGATCTAAAGATCATGGTTCAAAGCAGCCCAAGCAGGAGAGGCTGTGAGACTTATTTCCAAAGAGCTCAAGAACAGTGTCCAGACCCTGAGTTTAAGCCCCACAAACAACAACAACAACAAAAGGCTCAGTGACAGATAATCCTGGAACTGGCCTTCATCAGTGAGAGACCAAAGCAGCTACAGGAAGCTGAGTCCACCAAGTCCTGTTTTTAACCACAGCGAGTATTGGTCATGAGTGTATATGGACCTCAAATTCCAGGTGCTACCACAGTCTTGTCACAGAAAGAAAAATAGTCAATAAAAGCAGACCCATGCTCAGTTACTGAGTGGGATTGGGAGAAGAGACAAAACCTAAAATGTATAAAGTAAGAAATGTTAAAGATGTGGTTTATCCTGAAAATTCAGTGCATTCTAGAGGAATAGAATATTTTGCACAGATATAAGTTGTATCTCTGGCATCTGATGGTACGTAGCTTCCTTGGGTGGTTGACTTGTTTTTGATTTGCTTTTCTAGAAAAGATGTTTTGCTAAAAGTCATACACTTTTTCCTTTATACCCAGTAGTGCTTTATATAGTATAGCTCTATGCCATGCAACATTTGAGTATATATAGTATAGCTCTACGCCATGCAACATTTGAGTAAGAATTGTTAGCCTCTTGCCAACTTGGTGTTAATTTCTGCTTCAACATGTTTGCTTGGTGGATTCAAGATAAAATTTATGCTGGGCACTAGTGGCTGTAATCTTAGCTACTCAGGAGGCTGAGATTTGAGGATCCCAGTTCAAAGCTGGCCCAAGCAGCAAAGTCCGTGAGACTTTATCTCCAGTTAACCACCAGAAAATCAGAAGTGGTGCTGTAGCTCAAATGGTAGAGTGCTCACTTGAGCTGAAGAGTTGAGGGCCAGCACCAGGCCCAGAGTTCAAGCCCCATGACTGACAAAAAAAGATAAAACTTAATGTATATGACTGTTTTTCTTTACATACAATTGTTGTTGATGTATATACGTTTGACTTGGGAGAACTATTTTTTCAAAACAGCTTTATAATTTGTTTCACATAGATTCTACATATTATATCTTATGCTTTTAACCAGCTGGCACTTTCAGTTGTATGTTGTCTATGTTTGCCACTAATACAATACTGTTGACTTGTTTGCACCCTTCATTAACTGCCATTTTCTAACATTTTTTCAATAAAAGGAGAGAAAATGAAAAAATAGTAGAAACAAAGACAAAACATAAGATTACTATAATAAGACTGCCTGGAAATAGCCATCTATGTGTTTTCATCTCCTTAATGAGAGGATGGGTAGCTACTAAAAGCAGCTAATGCTATTTTCCCAGGGGTTGCTCTGACAGCTGACACTAAGATCCAAAGAATGCCAAGTGAATCCGCTGCGCAGTCCTTAGCTGTGGCCTTGCCTTCTTCCCAGGCCAGGTATGGAGCTTTATACGTATGATCATGAAAACCTTGAAAGTATAGTTCACCATTTTTACTTTCTTTAGTTTTAAATTGGTTGCTTTATAATTGTATTATGTATTTTCCTTTATCAAGATTTATAAAAATTTACAATGGCTGGGCTGTGGAGATTTATACTTATAATTCTAGCTTCTTAGGAGACTGAGATCTGAATATCACAGTTCAAAGCCAGACTAGGCAGAAAGACTCTTATACTCAACCAGCAAAAAGCCAGAAATGAAGGTGTAGCTAAAGTGGTTGAGTGAAAAAAACAGTCAAGAGCACATGGCCCTGAATTAAAGCTCTAGTACTGGCATGTGTACATACATTTAAAAAGATTTTATGGAATATATGATTAGAGGCTTTAACTATGATAATGATGATAATTTTCTTTTCAGGGTTGATGCAAATCGTACTGCACCTGGGGCCTCTGACCGTTCACAGCCTACAGTGATGAATTCAGTAAGTATCAAACCCCAGAAATGATGTCTGTTCTTAATTCCCAGAATATTAGACATCTTTTTATTTAAAAAACAAGAACAAAAGAAACACAAAAAATAAATTTCTGATTAGCAATCTTAGATTCTTTTTTTTAGTGTGAAAATATTTTAACAACTGCCTTTGAATTAATGTGAAACATTCAATATGACGCTTCAATTGTAATGTGATCTATCTCCTATCTAGATGCTTATGGAGTCTGGCAGTACCAAGAACTCTGCACTGATGGCTAAAAAAGCCCCTACGATGCCCAAGCCCCAGTGGCACCCACCATGGAAACTCTACAGGGTGAGCAGACCTGCATTTATTCTTCTGCAGCAAACATGGTGGCTTTCCACTTCACAAGTCTGTCCACTCTGCCTTTTCTTATGCAGGTCATCAGTGGGCATCTTGGCTGGGTTCGATGTATTGCTGTGGAGCCTGGAAATCAGTGGTTCGTCACTGGATCTGCTGACAGAACTATAAAGGTAAGATGCTGTGTAAATGTGTGTCTTTTAAAAATCCTTCTTAATATAATATTAATCATTCTTTGTGCCATCAAACTTTTTCCTCAGCATTGTGTTAAAGGCAGAGTCTTGTGAAAAATGCAGTTTTTTTTTTAAAGATTACAAAACAGAATTTAGCTATTCTATAACCTGTTTTCCTGTTTTTCAACATCAAAGTTTTTTGTTTTTGTTTTGTCAGTCCTGGGGCTGGAACTCAAGGCTTGGGCACTGTCCCTGAGCTTCTTTTTGCTCAAGGCTAGCACTCTACCACTTGAGCCACAGCACCAGTTCTAGCTTTTCCTGTTAATATGGTACTGAGGGATCGAATCCAGGGCTTCATGCATGCTAGGCAAGCACTCTACCACTAAGCCAGTCCAAACAGCAAAGTTTTTAGTTTGATGATTTTTCTTATTTCAAGTATTGCTATGTTAGTCCTTGTGTCTATGGCTTTTTCTTTATTTTATCTTGTTATACTAGATTGTCATAAATGGTACTGTTGAGTCAAATAGTTTTGTACCCAAAGTACAAACTACTTTAAAAAAAAAAGAGTGACACAGACATTGTGTTGAAAATGAACTTATACAGTTGTGGGAGAGGGGAGTCAGGAGGGGAAAAACTGGGAGACACTGTTCAAAAAACAATGTACTCATTATCTGACCTATGTAACTGTAACCCCTCTGTACATCACCTTTACAATAAAGATAAATTTTTAAAAAGTGAGTGAATTGTTAGTCGTAGTGTATTTGAGAGGATCCTTTTCAGTGCATTGACTTTGTAGCCCTTTAGAAGTAATCTTCTGAGAATACAAGCAAAAGCAGGTTATTTCATTTTCTAAACTGTTCATTCATATAGAATTTCTAGGGAGGACAAAGTTTTTTACATCTTTGTTTGCTATGTATAGGACACTTCTTAGTTGCTGATGTTGGTGAATTTAAATTTTTTATTTTATTTTATTTTGGGTCCGGTCGTGGTTCCTGAACTCTGGGCTTGGGCGCTGTCCCTCAGCTCTTCAGCTCAAGGCTAGTGCTCTACCACTTGAGCCACAGCGCCACTTCCGGCTTTTTGCTTATATGGTGCTGAGGAATCGAACCCAGGGCCTCATGCATGCAAGGCAAGCACTCTATCACTGAGCCACTTTCACAGTCCTGTGAATTTAAATTTTTATTATGGCCTTTCATTATTAGCAGTATTAACTCTGTGATGTATCATAAATTATTTTCTATTTGAGCATTCCTTTTTATTAGTCCTCCCCACTTTTATTTTGTCTAGAGTTATTGTTGACATTTTATACTTGTAATTTTTTTTTTTTTTGGTGCTAGGATTGGAATTTAGGGGCACATTTGTGCTAGGCATATATATGCTCCAGCCCTTTTATTCTGGTTATTTTTTGAGATAAGGTCTCTCTTTTTGCTTGGGTCTGCCTGGACCCCAACTCTCCTATATATGCTTCCCTTTGAAGCTAGGGTGCAGAGTGCTTGCCATCACATCTAGCTTTTCTGTAGAGATGGACGGTCTCATGATATTTTTGCCTGGGCTGGCCTGGAAGCATGAGCCTCCTCCCAAGCCCCGGCTCCTGCACAGCTGGGATAACAGTTGTGCACCACTGCATCCAGCAGTTGGCGTTGAGGTGTGGTCTTGCAAACTTTTTGCCCAGGTTGGCCTCAAACTATTAATCTTCCCCATCTCAACATCCCAAGTAGCTGAGATAACAGACATTAACCACTACAGCAGGCCTGTTTGTTTGTTTGTTTTTTTTAAACAACTTAATTTTCATACCAAGATTATAAAATTTTGCTCTGTGGTGACCAGCAAAAATAATAAATACTCTTCGTTTGCAGATCTGGGACTTGGCTAGTGGCAAACTGAAGCTGTCATTGACTGGGCACATCAGCACAGTGCGGGGTGTGATAGTGAGCACCCGGAGCCCTTATCTCTTCTCTTGTGGAGAAGACAAGCAAGTCAAATGCTGGGACCTTGAATATAATAAGGTAAGCTTGGATTGGAGGCCCAAAGACAGTACCAGCCACTGTCTGTCTTTCTAATTTTCAAGGTTATAACTTTCCTGATTCATCTCCAGGTTATCCGGCACTATCACGGGCACCTGAGTGCAGTGTATGGCTTAGATTTGCACCCGACAATTGACGTGCTGGTCACCTGTAGTCGAGACTCAACGGCTCGGGTAGGCAGAACGGAGCTGTGCGTATCGTGTTGTATCTTGTGCACATATTTGGTGTATTCAAGTCTTACACTGTTTGCTAGAGTTCTGAGAATAGTTGCTTGAGTTCCAATTATCCTACTCCCTCAGCCTCTTGATATGTAGTCTTTCCCACGTAATCTTCGGTTCCACGTGCTCTGCATTGTGGCAGTCTCATGTTCCAGTGTGTCACAGCAGTTGTCCACAAGCTCTGGTATGCAGCAGTCCCATAATAGTCACTAGACTTGCATTACCCTGACCTTTTTGCTTATTTTAGTTTTGACAGCTGTCTCCTGTCTATATTCTCTGTAGTGCCAAGGTCCTTAGCTTTCACTTATGCACTTTCTTCACTCTGTTCAGACACAGTTGTTTAGTAAATTTCCAGTTACTTGCCTGAGATAGGAATATGTTCTTTTTGACAATATGTCTGTCGTATTTTTTAGATTTGGGATGTGAGAACGAAAGCGAGTGTACACACATTATCTGGTCATACCAATGCAGTGGCTACAGTGAGGTGTCAGGCTGCAGAACCCCAAATTATTACTGGTATGGTTCATATGTTATCGCTTGTACCCCATTCATATCAGGATGCATTGTAGTTGTACATAGACTTTCTGTACTCACTTTAACTTGGCTTGGTATTGTGTTCATAGTGTTTCCTGTACTCTGACATATTTCAGTCATGGCCATTTGAAGCTAATTGTTAATAAGATTTCATCTGATCATACTACCCATACTTTTTACATGTCATAGAATACGTCAATCATGGTATCTTGTAATGCCTGTCTAGAAAACTTTTGTCAGATGCAATTAAGTATAACTATTAATCTGGAAAATTAAAGTTAGACAAAATATTCTGAGATCAATAACTTTTTGAACTGATCAGAATGTTAACTTTTAAAAAAATGGATCCTAAAGACTACAAAATCATTTGGTCCATTAACTTAAAAATCATGCATTTTTCTTTTCCTCTCCACTTGGGAATAAAATCATGTATTTGTTATGTTATTCACGTTAGTACTAGCTGTTCATTTAACAATGACTTAAACATTTTATTGCATTCTTAAAATCTGAATTTTTAAATGCTTTTAAGCATTGCACTCTTTGGAACTTCAAGGAAATAGGGGAGGTGATAGGGCCTCCCTCTGTTTACTATATGTGTATGGTATCTAGAATGCTTCATATTTTATTGTATCTAATTTATACACTCTTTTTTCCTGGCCTGCCTTTGTGCTTTGTGTATGTTTCTGTGTTTCTGTGTGTATGTGTGTGTATTTTCATTACAGGAAGCCATGACACCACAATACGATTGTGGGATCTGGTGGCTGGCAAGACAAGAGTGACATTAACAAACCATAAGAAATCAGTGAGGGCTGTGGTTTTACACCCACGACAGTAAGTTTTGCTGTTCTCATCTTCCTTAAGTCTTAGCACTGTATTAGCTGTGTTGGCATTTAGTTAGCTATTGTCATTTTTATTTCTTTAATTTTTTGTATGCTACTGTTTCATGTTATGGCCAGCGTAATATTACAAAGCCTTCTAGGTAGTGACAAATAATGCTCAGGAAGATTTGATTGAAGTCATGGTCAAAAGCTGCATGTTAAGATAGAAGTAACAGGACTGGGCAGGATTTTTATGTCATAGAGTACAGTATCCTGTGGTGTCTGAGACATGCATAGAGTGGTCCTTAGGGGATGTTAATATATGTAGGGAGGAAAGACGTAAAAATAACATTGTAGTGAAGGCATGTAGAAAAGCGGGGCATAGCTTCCCAGCCTATTGTTTATCAGATCAGATCCTACCTGACACATTCTTCTTTCTTTCCTCTCCTCCCTCTTGCTTTTCCTCTTCCTTTGTCCCTCCTCCTTCCTTTTCCCAGTCTTCTTCACTCCCCTCTCCCTTTTTTTTCCCTTCTTCCCTCTATCTTCTCCTTTCTCTCCTTTTCTCCAAAATTGTTGCCTACTCATTTGCCGTTTATTCAGATTTGTCATTTTGCATCTTGATGGTTCTTAACTCAGTGTGAAACATTGGGAAAATGAGTAGAAGTTCAAAGTCTGATTTCGTTTGGAACAAACATGTTGGTGTTAAGCTTTGCTGAAACAACAACAGTGATGACACGTGGCAAATACAACTTTCAGCACTACAGAACTCACCTTTTATTTGACTTAAACCATTATTAATTATTTCTTATTTATTTCAGTTACACATTTGCATCTGGTTCTCCAGATAATATAAAGCAGTGGAAATTCCCTGATGGAAGTTTTATCCAAAATCTTTCTGGTCATAATGCCATTATTAACACATTGACTGTAAATTCTGATGGAGTGCTTGTATCTGGAGGTAAAATGAGATTTTTATGATAAATGTGTTTATTTTTGTTTCTGTTAGTAAATAAGCAGACGTTTATAAAGTTTCTAAGCTGTCACCCGTGACTACATGAATAGGTCACACTGCTGAGACACGTTCTTCCATACCAACAACACATATAGCGGCATAGTTTATATTTTAGCCCTCTTGGTTCCCATGTGATAAATCTAATTTAGAGAATTGCCCAGTTTGGTTGGGGCTTCTGAAACTAAGTGTTAAGTTTGAGTGCCTGTGTCTTTGTGTCTGTACTTGTTACTGATACGGTGTTTAAGCTAATGGTCAGGCCTACACGGGTGTCAAGCTGTCCTGTGGAAGGCCTAACATGTGTCCACTTCTTTCCCTTTAAGCTGACAATGGCACTATGCATCTTTGGGATTGGAGAACAGGCTACAATTTCCAGAGAGTCCATGCAGCTGTGCAGCCTGGCTCATTGGACAGTGAATCAGGAATATTTGCTTGTGCTTTTGACCAATCAGAAAGTCGATTACTGACAGCAGAAGCTGATAAAACCATTAAAGTGTACAGAGAAGATGAAACAGCGGTAAGTTCTCTGATTTCACAAGTACTTTAAGGTAAAATATCAGCCTTGCCAATATGGAAAGGATCTTCTCATTTAATTACAAGAAATAAAGTACTCCTTTCCTATTTGGTAGTACTGAGATTGGTAATTCAGGGCCTTGTGCTTGCCAGGCAGGCTGTCCACCACTTGAGCCATGCCTCCAGTCCTTTTTACTCTGCTTAATGTTAAAATAGGGTCTCACATTTATGCCTGAGACAATATTTGTCATCTTTTTTGTGGTTGTTGTTGTTGGTCATGGGGCCTGAACTCTGGGCCTGGGTGCTGTCCCTCAGCTCTTCAGCTCAAAGCTAACATTCTACCACTAGAGCCACAGCGCCACTTCCGGCTTTTTCTGCTTATGTGGTGCTGAGGAATCAAACCCAGGGCCTCATGCATGCAAGGCAAGCGCTCTACCACTGAGCCACCTTCCCAGCCCCAGTATTTGTCATTTTGAACAGTATCTTTCTCTAGGTTTCTATATTGATCTCAGTGATGCCAGCAAACTTTTAGCTTTTATTTTATTCTCACTTTCCTTATTGTAGTTACTGGGAAAATGGTGCAGTGCAACAACAAAGAATAAATTTCTATGCAAATTAGTTCTAGAATTGCACTTAAGTGGTATCATAATATCTAAGCAGAAATTGTATTTTGCATGATAAACTGTGAAGTGAACTTGGAATGAACCCATGCAGCTTTTGTTAGGCTTGGATGTCATGATCTGTCCGCTGTCTGAACATTATTAGACCTGATAAGTAATATAATTTAGGATTGATACTTGGTTAAAATGGAAGCCAACTAATAGGAAACAGGCTAATAATACTTCATTTCGCTTTTCTGTTTTCAGACCGAAGAAACCCATCCAGTCAACTGGAAACCAGAGATTATCAAGCGAAAGAGATTTTAGTGTGACATTGTATACAGGATGGTTCCTTTTTCTTTTTTTTTAAGCTTGGCATTGATGAGAATATCCAGTCATTTTGTGTTGTGGCTAGGAATATGAAACTGAAACTCAACTTGCTAGAATCGTGGCTGCTTTTTGTTGTACAATAAACTGTCCCTGCCCCCACTGTGTTTTTATTTCTGAAATAAACGATTTGTAACCTTAGTAAGATGTGGATTTCACGTATGCAGGTTTATTGAACACATACGTGTGTGTGTGTGTGTGTGTGTGTGTGTGTCTGTGTGTCTGTGTGTCTGTGTGTGTGTGTGTTGGTCTGAGGCTTGAGCTCAGAGCCTGTACTCTCGCTCAGCTTTCTTATTGTTAGTCCCCTTATCACTTGAGCCACACCTCCAGTCTGGCGTTTTGTTGGTTAATTGGAGATGTAATGGCAAGGACTTTTCTACCTGCACTGCCTTCAAACTGTGATCTTCTAAATCTGAGCCTCCTGAATAGGCAGGATTACAGATGAGCTACAGACGCTAGCGTGAACATAACTATTCTAAAGACAGAATATTTTGACACTCATTGGAAAAATCCCCTTTTTAAACATGTATAAGGCTGCAAAGGTGGCTCAGTGGTAGAGTGCTTGCCTTGCATGCATGAGACCCTGGGTTCCTCAGTACTACATAAGCAGAAAAACCCAGAAGTGTCACTGTGGCTCAAGTAATGGAGCATGAGTCTTGAGCTGAAGAGCTGAGGGACAGTGCCGAGGCCCAGAGTTCAGGCCCCATGACTGAAAGGAAAAAAAGGACAAAACTGATTACTATATACCATATGAGAAAAACATTTTAAGAGGAACATGGTTTCACCCCTGTTGATACATCTTTATAAACATATATGATGGATGTATGGGGATTAAAAGATTGAAGTTGTAATTTCACAGTGCATGTTCTGTGCAGTTCTGCACTAGCCACTGTTCAGGAGAGGAGGAGTTAACTCCAGGCTGTGAAGATATGCTGTAATAGAGTAGCTGCCATCTGGGGAAGGACTTCACAGTGCCCAAGGGACATGAGCTAGCCTGCATGTGGAAGAGGGCAGAGAAGGAAAAAGAGCTGTTCTTTGATCCCCATGTTCGAGTGACACCAAGACCTTGCATGTGATGGGCCAGTGATGTCCCACTGCGCTCTAGCCCCCAGGCTCCCCGGTTCCTTCATAAAGTGAGTGACAACAGACATAGAAATGCAGTGCTATGTTCTCAAGGAAAACTGCTTGAGTAGTGGGAGCAAGGCTGGCTTGTGGGGAAAGCTCTTATTTTGAGTTTCAACACTTTGTTCTTCAAGTAGTAGGATGTCCATAAATGGATAATTGATAAATGAGGGATAAATACTGGAGATGCCATTGGAGTTGTTTAAAATTACAGCATGAGCTGCAGTTTTGTGTGATTTTATAGAAAATGGTTTCAAACACCTGTGCCTCCTGGAAAAAGGGAATTTTGCAATCCAGCCCTTGAGAGCCTGATCTCCCTTCCATCTAGATTTGTCACACTTCAGTATACTCCAAAAACCAATTTAAAGGTGTGTCCAAATGAAAAGATTGCATTGTTTTGAATAAATATCTTGCATGCTGTGGTGGGGTATGATGGTTACAGCCTTTAGTTTTGTTCCCAGGGTTTTACTGAAAATAATTGAACATTTACAATACTAAAATCGTTTGTAGGAAACTAGTAAGAACAACCTGGCAAAATGGGATAATATGTATAGTCCTTCAATGTATTTCTTTGTATTCATAAAAGTGAGGAATAGCCAGATTTGTTTTTAGGGCAAGTTGTTCAATTTTTGCTTATGTAAATAAGAGTTGTACAAGCATTTTGTAAAATAATGGGCACTAAAACATGATAGAGAAGTAACACCAAATTGTTAACTGTGGCTTTATGAGGGAGTAGAATAGTAGAAGAATTTTCATGGTTTCTGCTTTATATATTTTGATTACATTTTAATTTTCTATGAGCATGCATTTCATAAACTTAAATGGAAAAGAAATCACTTGCACCTGAAAGATTCTAATATGCCTTATACGAGAAGAAAATCAGAAGACGATTGTCTCCAATCCTCAAAAGCCAAGGAGAAATTACTGGTATAAGCTCCTATGGATAGTCTATTCTAGATATTATATGGAAATGGATTCAGATGGCATGTGGTCTTGTGTCACTGGCTTCTTTCCTTTTCATAACGTTTCAACATCTGTATTCCAGTGTGTATAAAAACTGCCTTCCTTTTAAATTGACTGGATTCTGTTGTATGGATATACATTCTTCTGTTCATTCATCGATGAATATTTGAAATAAAATTTCTACACTAAAAAGCAAACATTTGTTGGAGTGCATTTAGAAGGAAGATGTTTTAAGGCTTTGAATTTATTAAGCAAGTCAAATTTCTGCCGATAGACATTTTAGCCTTTGAACACAAGACAGGGATACTTGCCAGATAAAAAATTAAAACTTAGAAAAATTGTAAAATAAGTATACAATTTCTAGAAAATCGGCAGAAACGGTGTTATATAATAATGTAAAATGAATATTACATCAAAATAGCATTTGTGAAATACAAAGAACTAGGAAATGATCACATTTCCTCAATATTTTGCAACTAACGTTATAAACAGCATATGGATAAATTTTGCTTTTCTAAAATTAGAATGCCTATGTCATTTAGTGATGATACTAAAAAAACAAACACTTGGTATATGCTCGGCACTATTCCAAGTGATTTCATATGTATTAACATAATAATTAAAGCCAGAAAAATTGTCTACATAGTTTGCAGGGCTTCAGAGCAAAAGGAAAATGCAGACCCTGCTGTTTACAAATAGGGAGGAAAGTGCCATTAAGAATAGATACTGCCAGGCGCCGGTGGCTCATGCCTGTAATCCTCGCTACTCAGGAGGCTGAGATCTGAGGATTGTGGTTTAAAGCCAGCCCGGGCAGGAAAGTCTGTGAGACTCTTATCCCCAATAAAGCACTAGGAAACCAGAAGGGGTGCTATGGCTCAAGTGGTAGAGCACTCGCTTGAGCAGAAGTGCTGAGGGACATTGCCCAGGCCCAGAGTTCAGAGTTCAAGCCCTGCAACTTACTAAGAATAGATACTAAGCTATTTTTTTTTTTACTTTTCCCTCTGGTAATGATTGCTGTTTGCTAATAACATTCCTTTTTGTGTGTGTATGTGGTACTAGTGTTCGAATTCAAGACCTCAAGCTTGCTAGGCAGGAGCTGCTGTGATCCATACTGCTAGTCCTTTTTTTGCACTGGTTATTTTGAGAGCCTTGCTTTCTACTTGGGTGCTGGCCTGGACCACGATCCTGCTTTTTACATCCTACCATAGCTGTGATGACAAGCACATCCCACCACATCCAATTTCTCCTGCAGTGATCCTCCCTCCCTCCCCTCTTTCCTTCCTTCTCCCCTCCCTCCCTTCCTTCTTTTCTCTTTCTCTTTCATTCCTTCCCTCTCTCTACCTCTTTTCCTCTCTCTTCTTTCCTCTTTTTCCTTTCTTTTCTTTCCCTTCCTCCCTCCATAAGATAGAGTGGAATGGAAACTGCTTCTTGATTTAAAAGGTGGAAAACATCAATTAGTGGTGAAAAGAAATGAGTGAGAAGTGTGGATAGAAGACCAGCTCAGCACCAGGACATGGAAGCCGTTTGGCCATGGAATGCCATGCTTCTGTTGGAGAGTGCTGGCGTCTCTCCTGTCTGTTCCATCTTCTATGGGGCTTCCACTCAGTGTGTGACTGCTTTGCTGAATCAAACCCAGGCTTGTTATCCCCCATCTCAGCCCCTCCTTTGGTGAAGCAGGCTTTTCAGCACATCCTTTAGCAAGCATTCTTGACCATCCTGCTCCATTGTGATTGCTACTGTGAAACCTGGGGCTGTGAGAGTGGCTGGTAATTTTTAAATTTTTAGTTACAACAACTCTCAGACCTCTCATAATTCTAAGTTGCATGCATATCTACTATATAATAGAATGTCAAGCTTCCTCCTCTTGCCACTTTATTCTTTCAACTATATCTTTCTGCCTATAGAATTTCATGTGTTAAGCAACTTTTGGTATAAGATGCCTTAAGTGCTACAGAATTAACTATGCAGCATTGTGACTATAGAATAACCTAAAAAAGAGATGGTAAGAATTCTCAAGGCACACACACGGTAACTATGTGAGATGATGAGTCTACTATTTAGATGATTTAAGTGTATATGTATACCAGACTGTTGAATTCTGTACTTTAAATATATTCATTTTCAATTATAGGTCAAGAGAACTAGAGCCAAAGAAAAAAAGAGAAGACCTTGGACCACTTGTGAGTTTCTTTTATAAATTCTATAATAACCATAAAATGCATCTGTTTAAAAACTCTAATTTTAAGGGTGAATGATATTCTATTACATGTGTATGGCATATTTTGTTTATCCATCAGTAGATGCATTTTTGGGATGCTCTCTGGTTTTGCTGACAATTCTGTACAAGCATGTTTGTACACATTGCTGTGAGATCCTGCTATAATTTGGATGTGTGAGTCACAAGTTGAATTGTTAGATCATCTGTTATTTCTATTTTTAAATTTCAGTGAAATTACAGTACTGATTTTTTTTAGTTTTATATTCTCACTCACACTATATGTGGTTCCAATTTCTCCATATTATTGCCAACGTTTTATTTATCTTTTAAAAATAATATATTCTATTTAGTGTGAGGTATCTTATTTTGATTTTAATTTTTACTCTTGTAGTGATTAGTAATGTTGAGTATCTTTTCATGTATTCAATGTCTATTTTTAATATTTCCTTGGAGAAATCTCTATTTAAATCCAAACCCTATTTAAAGTTTTTATAGTTGTTGAATTGCATTAGTCCTTTATATATTTTGGGTTATAAACTCTTACCAAATATATTGTTTATAAATATTTATTTCATTAAGTACCCTTTTCCAGTCATTGGCTGTGTCTTTTGGTATACATGAGTCATTCTAGTGAGTCTAATTTGTCAACTTTTATTTTGGTTATATGTGCTTTTGCTGGCATATCCAATAAGCCATTGTTGAATCCAGTGCCTCAGGTATTCTATGTTTTCTTCCAAACGTTTTATAGTTTTAGCTCTTCAGTTAAGTCTTTAATCCACTTTGGGTTAATTTTGTAGGAAATTTAAGTTAAGGATCCAACTTAAATATTCAGTTTCTC